AGGCTCGAAACTAGCTTCTCATTTCATAACACAGAGATGAGCACGACACTGTTCGACGGGAAGATCCAAGACCTCCTCCACTCTGAGGAGAGATATAAAGACAAAGTGTGTGTCACGCCATTAGAAAAGCGCATTCCGATACTTCAGGCGTCACGTACACTGAGGAATTTCCAGACTCTTCAACAATGCCTTTGTATCTGTCTCCTCTCGGAGATGGCAGACATCACTATTAAGCAACCAGCGAAGAAAAGCGTCGTCACACAACAGTACATGAGAATCAAAAGTATCGACTTTGGAGACGGGGAAGTCTTGGTCCTCACTGAATTCCTCAAAAGAAGATGCGTCGAACAGAAGAACGACGACATCGCAAGAGGAGTCCCCTGTAAGACAGCTACAAGGAGGCTGCAGAACAATAAGAAAATCGAACTCCTCCACTTATTGATCGATTTATTGGTCGTCCGATGTGGATACGAGTTCGAGAGCAAATACACTGAAGGGAAGATAGGGACTAACAAGCAAGAGTCGATCAAAAAGGTCATCAGAGACGATAAAGTCATCATCGAAGGGGAAAAACTCCTTGATGCAGCAGAACAAATCAATCAAATCATCACAAGACGGCTTCAAGTCACTCACAAGGAGCTGGTCATTAAACGTGGAGATCCAATGCTTTCGCTCATTTATCAATAAGTTATGTATTTGTGTTTTCATTTTGGAATGGCATTCACAGTCAAACAGTACATCTCTACTGGGGGTAATCATTTAGTAAAAAAATGATTTAAATATAGTAACTAATTCTATATATAAGTATAGTTATTATTAGTATTACTTATATATTATGAGTGGTATATGTTAGAATATTATACTATTATAATAAGTAATAGTATGATATATATTAGTATGAAAATATTATAATTAAACTTACTCAAATAATAATGGTAATCAAAAGCTCTCATTGCTTTAACAAATATAAAACTCCAATAGAAATTGTTTATTTATAATTAAATAAATTTAATATTATGCCAGTTACAATTGTTGGAAGAAGTCGGGAATTTACTTCAAATCTATTTATTACATTGGAATGAAAAAATAAATAGAAAAACACAATTAATGGAAATTTTTGTTAAAAAATCAAATAACATTTTTTGATAAAAATGTTATTTGTGACGAGAAGTGTGAACTCGATTTAACACATCATACAAATGCCTCAAGACAGCGAAAGCTCCGAAAAAAGCAACAAAAAGACTACGCGCCGCACACGGAAATCCGACAAAGCGAAAAAAGACAAAGAAACTGTTGAAAAGAAGCCCAAGAAAGAGGTGGAGCACAAATCGCGCAAATCGACGAAACGGGAATCGACCATTGAGGAATATGAACTCCAAGATGTGTATCAAGAGATCGTCCCACTTACACATCAAAAGAAAAGTATATTGTCAGAAGATTATGCTCAGCGGATAGCTGTGCCACCACTGAATGAAGATAAGCTTGTTAAATTACCAAAGGGGTTAATCACTATAGAACTTCCCGAGTTCCAAAAAGTCGACGAGAAGGACATGTCGGAGGAATCGCAGAAGGACGATATCCTTTCGAGTGATGAAGAAACGGAAGACGAGACGTACTTTAAACTTCATGCAGAGATGGAATCACAAGAAAGACTCCGTTTCATTAAAGTGATTCAATCCCTTGCACCGACAACAAAACACGGCGTAGCAGAACAACAAAGTGTGTGTGATAAATACTACACAATGACAAAAACAGATGAACTCCTCCCCTCTTACCACTCTACTATTGTACTGAAACAACCAATTAACTATTTGGACTGTTATGAGTACAATCATTGTACTAATCACGTACAACCGGGGGTTGAGAAATACATTCACCCACCGTCTATCCCTCTTTTAAAAGGAAATTGGCATGTTACTATTCAAGGCGATAGTGGTTCGACTTTGTTAATTAAAAAAATAGAATAATATGTTATACTTCTTTATTCTCAAAGAGTTAATTATTAAATTATTGTTTATATTAAATATTATTCTATTTAATATCATAATTAATCTATTTATATCTTTCCTTCAAAATCATCAATTGTTATGGTTACTGAGGTGAGTTATTAATTATTATTTATTAATTGTTTTCTTAGTAATACAAAAGTAAAATAAATACTATCCTATCAAAGTGTTTGTAATTATATAATTCTAATAATCTAATTATAATTCTTTGGTATTCCTTTTATAGATACTATCCCGTTTTCTTTTTTGAAACGAATATGTAAATTCTATATTAGAATATCTAGTTTCAGTATTATCAAAATATAGTAAAATCTGTTGACTTAGTACTTTATCATTAATTAATTTCATTATTATATATTTACTATTTAACTGGTATTTTTACAAACTGAAAGAGACACGGAATTGTGAACAACACTTTTCCCGTTTGCCACATTACCGACTTCAAGTTTTTGAAGCATTTTAAAAGTGAAATTATACCAAAACTATAACCAAATTAAAGAAAAAGCTTTTCCCAAAATACAAAGTCGATAGGATACCCAAACCAAAAATGAACAAGAGCAGATGAATAACACTGCGTTCATTGCAAAGAACATTTACCTTTCTCTTTTGATGGTTCTTTCTTTTTATCTGTAGCTTTTGTCTACGTGTTAGTTTTGATAATTAGTTGTACTAATAGTAAAAATAATTCAAGAACAAACTTGAGCTCCGCCTGCAGTCTTTGGGGCATCTTTTTGCGAGAATACGCAATCGATAGCTGTATTAAACACTTCTTTTAAACCTGTTAATTTCACAGAGGATGCTTCTAAGTACGCGACACACCCCAGCTTTTTAGCCAGTTCTGTTCCTTCCGGTTGTGATGTGTGTTCTTTATTGCCTTCTTCTCTAAGATCGATCTTCAGCCCAACGAGAATCGTCTTAGCTGTTGGGATGTAGTGGCGGACCTCTGGCTCCCACTTCGAAGCGATGTTCTCGTAAGAAGTTCTTGAGTTGACTGAAAAACACAACAAGATGACGTCCGATTCGGAGTATGAGAGTGGTCTTAAACGGTCCTAGAAGTCAATTTCTTT